ATGCATACATATGTAAATATAGACATTTCACACATCTCTATCTTTCGTTCTTTCTCAGATCTACCTTTTTTGCCGTGCATTTTGCATTCTGATGCCAGCCTCATTCAATAACAATACGCGTTCGTAAACCACATAGAGAACCACATATGTATATATATATTTATATATATATAGAAATTGCTTGCCTGCTGTTTCGCTAATAGATAAATAATTGAAATCAATTTATATTGATTTAGCAACATATTTGTGCACAATACACAGAAATTAGCACAAATCATCTGAAATGTTAGGCAAATACTGCCAAATATATATGTATGTACATATGTACGTAGACCCTAAAAGCAAGTTCAGATATCATCAAATAAAAAGGCTTTAATAATCGAAATCGTGACTGGCCAGACAACTTTCCACTCAACCAAACATCAATGCATTGAACTACATGCAAATATTATAGATATGCACATATATGTATAAACATATTTCTACATATAGCATCCAATTTAATCGGATACATTGCAGGTACACGTGAGCTGCGTATCAGGGCACGGCTTGCCAGGGCGGCATCTGCTGTCTGAGCTGCCCGTTGCAACTGCTTATCAGCATCGAGCCTCGTGCCAGTGACGATGCGGACTACAGCTCTGAGCTGATAAGGAGGCCAGGCACACACATTGGTTCTAAAGCACGTTGGAAATTTCTGGGAACAATACACCCGCCCTCCCACCCTCTCCCTCTAAAGCGAGGCACAAGTGCACAAGCGCTTCAAGTAAGAAAAAAGACAGAATGGGGCTTCTTTTAGAAAGTTGGGAAACACTTCGTAAACTTTACAAAGTAAGTAAACTTTAAAATGCATACAGGATGTGAGGCGGGAAAACTGGGGCGATAGCTTAAAATTTACTAAAATTGATTAAGTCGAGCTTAGAAGAGATTTTGTTTTGTTTGTATTAAAAAAAATGCATATTGAGTTATACATTTATATTAAGATTTGATGGGATGCACAAAAAATGTATTGTTATCGCCTTTTTAACAGCCAAAATGAAGACACAAGTAGAAAAAGCGATAAACATTGTTTATAACATCGTAAATGCGAGACTGTTTCTTCTGTTCCTGGCGTAACGCTTTCGTATAGCCCCGAAGTAAGCGGCTTCTTTCTGAAGAAATTAAGTAGACGTCTTTGCCGATAAGCGATGCCGACTAAAAATATCGCCTTTTTATACGCCTATAGGGGTATTATAAATTTGTCATGAAGTATGTAACGCATCGAAGGAGACATATCCAGCACCATAAATTATATATATTCTAGATCAGCATCAACAGCCGAGTTGATATAGCCATGGCCGTTTGTCCATCTGTCCGTTTGTCTTTTTCTTTGCGAGCTAGTCCCTCAGTCTTAAAGCGTCCGTCTTTCTGTTGCAGGCAGTACATATGTAGGTCGGAGTCAGGCGGATCGGACCACTTTATCATATAGCTTTCATAGGAACGATCGGTCGAAAAGTAGGTTCTTGTGTGGAAAAATATTTTGTTTGCAAGATATTTCCATCTCACCTGACATTTACGAACTTCACTGTTCACACATATCTGCAAAAGGGAAATGTCTACAAGGGTATTAAGTCTTCGGCTCGTCGAAGATCCTCACTTTCTCGTTATCTTTCGCGATAGCACAACTTTAAAAGCAACCCGCGCACCTTATCGGCAGCCTTTTACGAACAGCTGGAAAAGCCGAATACGATAAGCTTCTCACGCCCACAGGCAAAACTATTTGTTAGACATGCTCAAAATGTTTGCGAAAAAGAAAAAAAAAAACAAATAACAATGGAACGGAAGTGTCCAGTCAACAATATTGGATATCTATTTTTATCAGAAGAACAGCGAAATGAAAACGAAAACAAGAGAACATGAAGTTGAGCACAAAATTCTATTCTACGAATTCTACAAAAAGGGTTTTTTTTGGCTTTAGAATTGACAAATACCAAAGAATAAATAATATGAGTCAGGAAAACAACAACAACAGATATAAAGATATAAATGTATACATACATATGTATATAGATACACTCTGTATATGGTTCATATTTTATATATTTATTTAAAAGAAAAGCAAACAAGTTTGCTTAATGGCCGCATCCGCAGAGGCCGGAGAAGCACAACGTAACAACAAAGAAAGTTGAAGGCCGACAAAGCATTGACCGTATATAGAATATAGAAATTTGTATACACTTATGAAAGCAATAGCTACATATATAGAAATTTGTTAAACAAATCAAGTGATGAGCACTTTTAAACTATGCACTTAAATTGCTCTCAATCGAAACGGGGAGCTAAACAGCAATTTGCGCGAGTCAAGAAATCGAGAGATCGAAAAATGATGCAATAACTGCGAGAAATACAATCAGCATTTCGATCGCATCAGAACGGGATTCAAGATTCCATAGAATTGTCAGAGCATTTAAGTAAATGGAAGTGCTACGAGTTGGCCTGAACCTGCGGGTTATTCTCCTGCGTGACACGAGCAGACAAAGTATCGTAAGGACGTGCTCGTGCTTAAGTACTTTGCACTAGCAAAAAATTTATTAATTTCTTTTTGTAATTTTTCTAATCAATATAGTAAAATAGAAAGATATATATACAAGATATATTTCAAAAAATTGTTACGATTCAATCTTTTTATAATTTTCCTGATATTTTTCTACATATAACAATATGCCCATCTCTAAGTGTAACAATACTCCACTCCGAGTGCTGTTAATTTTAGAATTCATATAACTAATTAGTGATTGACAGTTTGAAGGAATGTCGTTTGGTACTTATTATAAACTTTATTTTAATGAAAACAAACCGATTAAGCAAAATATATATAGTTATAGTATTATAAATCGTCAGCAAAGGTTATTAAATGAGGATCTACGCATAGTTCAGTGTCAAAGATGATGCTACAAGTTATTCGAGAAAAGTTCTAGAAGTTACATTCCATCAAAGCAACAAATAAGAAAAAATTTGGTTAATGAGCATTTAAGGTTATTGGAAAATGCTACATTTAACAAAGTAGACAAAAATCAAAAGCAATAGCAAATCGATTTGTTGGCTAGTTTCTGCTAGCTTTAATTTCCAAGCCAAGAGGTTATATTTTAAATATTAAGAATTCTATGCATCGACTTAAAGATGTTAAAATAAGAAATGCTCCAAAATAATAACTGCATACATAAAATACCGATGCCAGCTTCTAGAGGTTCCAGTTTTCGAGCATTCGGTGTTTAAGCAACACAAAGACTTTAATCATTTTATCATAATCGTTTTACTGTGTGGAAAATAAGCATAATAAATATAGGTACTGTCGCACCTAGGAATGCGCTAGATAGCGCGTTATTTGAATACTTTTCAAAGCTACGACTTAATTCCCTGCTTTTATCAAATAAACTTAAACCAAAGCTGTGCTCACAATCAAACAGAAAGTGTGCGGAAGTTGCATGTTTATTTTCTCAATTATACCGTTGTTTCAAGGATCAGAAGTCATAAATTTTCCAGGTCAAAGTCAAAAGTTTTTGAGCAGCCGATTTACCTGCCAACTCGCTTTAATTCGTGCTAATTTGTATTTGTGTTCCTTTTGGCTGCTTTATCAGCGGTCCTTATCGTGCACTCAACTGTTGAGTCACTGCCTGAGGCATAGCTTGTGATAAATATATATATACTCTATATGTATATATATATATATATATATATATATATATAGGAGAACAATGGCATAAGGTGATATGACAGTATTCAGCTGGCGCTGTTAAGTCAATTAAGTCAAGCAGTTCCTCAGACAGCGGGAGCCCCAGTCGTATACGTAATAAAGCGGCGCCTTAAAGCAAATGAGGCGTGTGGTGAATTAGAGGAGGGACTTGGGCTTGAGTTTTTTTAATCTGAGCTGCGGCTAAAAAACTGGCTATACATATGCAAAGTCAAAGACTGAGGCAGAGAGAGAGAGAGAGAGCGAGAGAGAGAGAGACGGGGGGCTCCAGTATTGGTATTTGCCCAACATATGGCCGGTTTCTAGGCATTCAACTCGATTGGGTTTTGTGTTTGTCTGCTTTTACCTCCCTCCCTCCCCCTCCCTACGATCCGCGGCGAGTCAACACTTTTTCAGCCTTGAATTTTCGCGCACTGACACTGAACTCTCTGAACGCGTTGAAATTCGAAATTCAAATTGAAATCAATTTCAAATTTTATTTAGTTTTTTTTGTTTCTTAATACTCATTGGAATTTATATAAGAAAAAAAGGTATAATCAAGTTGTGCAAGTCTAAGTAAATATATTGTTGATCAGTAAAAAAAAAAAACTAACTCGATACAGTTTTATTGAACTGACTGCATTGGAAATTAAAGAATAAAGAGCTTCGATTTGTTATGATAAGGTTTAGTAGCTGCCAAGATTGAACCTGCGTATTATATAACTTGTAAGATATTCAAGTAATTGAAGACAGGGTATCACGCAGTCGAACACTCTCCACTGGAGCACACTTATTTGTATTTGCATTTTGCGTTTGCAACAAATTTTGAATTGTGTTCGTCTTATGATTATATGCACAATTTGTGCAATAGTAAAAGTCCCTCTCCGAAGTCTTTATATATATATGTATATATATAAACCAATTCATACAGCATATAGTATTCGAATAATCAAAAGATTTGAACACATTTTGGCCGCTGTTGGGGAAAACTTGTGCTGTAGTTTTTTGGTATTTCATACAGGAAACGCTTAAGTTTTGAGCTCAATTTTATGGGCTAAACATAAACAAATGCGAGCTTGTTTATGGTTTTATGTGATCCGCTTTGCTGCAAGGTCTCGCATTACACGATTTCAATTTGAAATCTCAACTCTGAGAGCGGAATATGTGTCCATGTGAATTCTGTAAATTTTATTTTATCGTGTGGCATTTAAAATGAAAATTTCGATGTGCATGTGTATATGTTTATATATTCTCCTTATATGAACATTGTATGTATGCTCGCTGGAATACCAACCTTATAATTTAGCACCGTGTGGTATTTAAATGATATACTATATGAGTATAAACAATTCCAGTTGAGGGGACCTCGTGGTGTTGTAAATCGTCTATAAAACGGACGTTTTGACTTCCGTGTCGGGGTTTTTTTTTAAGATCACGAACACTATATACAAAATGGTTAAGTAATTTGCTAGAAATGTTTATACAAACATTTTTATAACTGTTTATTTTCTTTCATTAATTAATTCATATGCATGGGCACGCATGTGTGAGAAGCGGATGAGAGGAGGAGCTTGCTCTTTTTATATGTAAATCGTATACTTCATTGTTGTTGTTCTTGTTGTTGCTGTTGTCGTTGAACACGCTTTTTGTAGATTGGATTTATTTATTTATTTTTTTCTTTTTAACTGGGTCACACATGTGGCGATTAAAACAGAAATATTATATATCTGTAGGTATGTATAACATTTTTAACACAAAAACTATGCACACCGTGTATAAAATTTGATAAGTAAAATTAAAATATTATATACATATGTATACACTCGCGGCGAAATCTTATCAGCCTGTCGCCAGAAAGAAACATAAGGTCCAAAGAGTTGTTAAATGTACTTAGGAGCACAATAGTTCGCGGCTATATACATATGTATATACTTGTTGTTGTTGTTGGTATTGACGTACGGCTTGAAGTGTGATAGTTAAAAGAATGAAGCTGTTGTCGCTTTATTTTCAACTGCTAGACTCTGACACTGACACTTGATGGCACACGTTAGGTTCGAACATATAACGTAAATTTGCTTTATAATTATGGCAAAAATTTACAACAACTTTAAGCTTTCGTGGACGCTTTTCTAAACGTTTTGTTTTTGTTGCTGTCAATTTTGCGGTAATTTCGACCGACCAGCTGAGCGCGATGCGAACAACTGATCAAAGCACGCGCTGAGAACTCGAGAAAAAAGCAAAGCTCGCTCTGCACGCGCGTTTGTGTGCGTGTGTGTGTGTTTCTGTGTGTGTGTGTGATGGGGAGTGTGTGAGTGGATAGGCAGACGTCGACGCCAACGTAAGAATTTTTGTAGTCAAATTCCAGCACTCTTTAAATTTGGCAGCTTTGTTTTTTTTTTATTTATATTATTATTATTTAATGTTTGTGGCTTTATTTATTTATGCAAATATGCTTAGCTTTTTTTGTTGCTTTGCGCGTTTTTATGTGATTGAATATTAAAACTAGTTCGCATTGTCTGAACGAGTGTGTTTAAATAAAAGCCTGGCACCTGAGTTGATTTACTTAAACTTGTATGACCAGAGCGCTTTTTGTTGCCGTTTTTCTGACTTGTTTTAATCGTACACTAATTGAATTATGAGCACAACAACTACTACTTTGTAATTAAATTTATAATTTGTTTAACATACATATATGTTTCTGTATTTACTTTGATTTGCACGCTTTGCATTGACGCTCGTTCTTCATTCTATCAGCGTTTCTGGCATGTACAAAACGACAATAAAAATAATTTTTGTGTTTTATTTTGATTATCGCACTCTGCACTATGTGAGTGTGTGTGTTGACTGCTGTTACACACACAAATGCACCCATGAATTGTGTTTCGCTGCGTTCCGTGTCCGCGCTTGTCAAACGTTCTTGACCGATTGATAAAGTTTTGAAAGCTCGGCGACAAAAACACACCAAGTACAGCAAGCGAAAGCTCACGCGCTCGATGATTTGTTTTGATTGTTCAGCTGTTTGGTCGCAGCAGTCAGAGAGAGAAAGAGAGAGGGCAGTCGCGTGTGCGCATGTCGCTCACCCACACATTTACAGTCAGTAGCGGCAGTAGACCGACGTTTTTGTCTCTTCGTCTGTTGCTTCTTTCACTTCCACTTTTCCATTTGGGTTCTTGAATGCCTGCGCTGGGGGCATGCGGCAGTGGAGAGCAGCAAAGTAACGACCGCGCAGCTGCTCGGGTACAGTCTGTTGCGTTTGTTGTTGTTTTGGTTTTTTTTATTTTTGTGCGCCTTTTTCATTTGTTTTTGTTCGCATTGCTTGGCAGTTTGTTTTTCCCCATTTGATTAATAAATAAAATTATTTACAAAGCTTCCGCTCGCGCTTTTTCTTACTCTTTCTCTCTCTCTCTCTCTCTCTCTCTACACTGCCACAACCCATCCGTGTTTTTTGCTTTTGTTTTTTGACGTCACTTATGTTGTTTACTTCGGGGCAGGCGGCTTGTTTTCATTTTCTTGCGCATTCGCATTGTTATTTCTGTTGTTCTTGCTTTTTTTTTGTGTAATGCAAATTTCTGTTATGAAATTGTCTGGCGCTTTCATTTGTATTTTGAATTTCGCAAAAAGAATCTAGTTGAGCATTGAAACAATACTATAATATCAGAACGATTTTATTTATAGCAAAAAACAGCAACAGAAAATAGATGGAAGCGAGAAGTCTGCGCACTTTGAGAACCGTTGCATGCGCCAGCGTTTCGATGCTGACGCTGCTGTTTTTTCAACTCTATTGGTTTGTTTATAGCACTCAGTAATGGCATATAAAAAATAATAATAATAATAATGGAATTCGCACAACTATATCGTTTTTTTTTTACTATATACATATTTATGTACTTTGTATGTATGTATGTGTGCATGAGAATCGAATATCAGCTCAGCTTAAGTTTGCTTTGGCTTACTTTTTTCATGCTGCCATTTTACACAATTCATTCCGATTGGAGGTTCTAAGCATAAGGCTGATGCAATATGTCATAAGCAAAGTGTAATCAAAATTTCGAAATGGGAAGCCTGCACAATAATGTTTTTCGGCTTTGATGTATAAGTAGAAGAATTTCCAAAAGGAATATGCTAAAAGGGTGTACGGTGTGGCAACTCTATACGGCAATTCATTGTGGTAGCTCTGGAAGTATTTTGTTTGCTCAAATGACAGTGTTAGGAAGCGTTTATATGTTATATGCAAAGCTAAAATAAAAATTGCATTGTAAAAATAATTTTATAAAATTAAAAGACATCTTATTGAAAAGAAGGAAATGTAAATGTGTGACACGCATTTGAAATCAAATACTTATTGTGAAATTTGTTTTTATATATCACTTTTTAGGAATTGATAATGGATATAAGTTTATTTACATTGAAAATCAGACAAAAACAACAGATTCGGTTCTACCTAATTTTCAAATTGCAATTCACTGGAAACATAAATCCAATAAGCAATTGAAATTATCTTGTATGCCTGCTGTATAAGCCAACTTCAAAGCGGAAAATTAAGTCGTATTGGTAATTCAATGACAATCGAACTGACGCACGGAAAATTTTGCCTAGGGGCTGCTGCTGCTACTGCTGCTGCAGACAAATCACAGCCATGTCCTTGAATGGCAAATTGCGACACAGCAAAATGAAAACAGCGCGTGTAGGTAAACATGGTCGGGAGCCGACGCGACGCGCAAGGATGTGACAAAAACAACAATCAGTGAAGCGCTCTTCAGGAACAGTCGTTCCAGGATATATACATATGTAGACATGCCAAGGATGCCAGACTGCACACACGCACACGCCCGCCGACTTCAAGGATCCACGCGGTAAACGATTGTCAAGGACGTGGGCGCCGGCGTCTATTTGAGTATTTACTAAACAGCACCTAAAGCAGACGCCTACGCCGCGACTTATGAGGCGTGGGCGTTACGGCTGACAAGCACCGGTTTATTTATTTTTCTTCCTTTTCTTATATTTTTTTTGCAGCCCTCTCACCCATCCCCCCGCTTGGCACTTTCACTTTTCCTTCGTGAAGCAGGGTCGTCGTTGTCGGGTTCATGGCAGTCCGAAGCATCGGGACCTTGGACACTTGTGGGCGTCGCCAGTGTTGCCACTCCGCCACCCATAAACTGTGGGCGTTCGCTTTTCGCAAGCTACTTGTGTATTCCTTATGCTGCCGCGCGCGTTCATTTTAATTAAATGCAAAGCATTTGACAAGCCACAGCATAAATATGCTTTAATTAACAAAAAGCTATCACGTTTTAAGGGTCTGGCAACGCCAGTTGCCGAGCAGTGGCAGCCAAGAAGCGTACGTGTGTTATTAATTCATTTGGAAAATTTAGGTATTGTTGATTACTTTCCAGGATGAATATTCAAAATCTATTTGTACTATATATTATTAACCAATATTCTAGGCATTCAGAAAGGATATTACAACTGTCGGCACCCAGTGTATTACTTTGCCCAACTTGTTTTTGTTATGAATGTGAAGAAGCACAACAAAAATGCGACAGCAGACTGGCAAAGACGTCAAGGACATGGGGTTGAGTGAAGCCTGCGCTTGACACTGGGGCTTGTGTACAGAGCGTGGGCTTTTATTATGCGAGCGCATGCCAGAAAGAGAGTGGTAGCGGGAGAGAGCAAGAGAGTGTGGCTGTCCAGCGTTTGCCCAAGGATTTCAAGCGAAATTCTGCGTCGTAATTTTCAATATGGCAGCTAAAAATCTCCACAGTAACCCCCACGCACGCAAGCCCCATTTCAAGAGAGGGGCGAGGTGGCAGCCGGCAAATGCGTACAACGAAAATATGGTATTTACATACATAATATAATATATGTATATTATGTAGCCTGGATGGACGCACGCAGACATTGTTGGCGTTGTTGTGACGCGTATCGATTTGTTTATGTTTATTAAATGAAAATTCACAAGGGATCAGTTGGGGCTAAGGGATGGGGCTGCTAATTGGTAGCGGTAAGATGGTGGGAAGTTTTCATGGCTACGCCATAAAAAGGAGAATTAAACTTGTTTAAAATTTCACAGAATTTTTATTGGGTAGGAAAAAAATGGGTTTCGTGGAAATTTTGTGTGTATGTGTATATGAGCGAGAGAGAGAGAGTGAGGATAAGCCTCTGATTAACAAGTCCAAATTGCTTTGAAATTTTGAGAAGCGCAAAGAAAGGAACGTTGGGTTGAGAAGTTACAAATACCAAGAACAAGAAATAAGTAGCTAATTTTTGGTAAAAATATATAATTAGATTACGTCAAATTACAAGATTAGATATTTGAGAGCATTTTTTAAATAATTGCTTTATTTTTATTTTCATGAGATGAAAAGGATGATAAGCCTCGATTGTTAAATCTTAATGATTGGTTAAACATAACTAATAAGGCTTAATCAAATTCTAATTTTTTATCATTTATTTTTAAGTGGATTTTAAATAGTTGAAGACACACATTAGACTGCTTTATAAAATGACCAGTTTTATCGAACTTTTTAAAAACTATCAATCAGTTAAATTTTCGAACTTACATGCACTTTGCATGTGATTGAAGCCATTCAGCAATTTACTCAAATAAATAATATGATAATAATTTTTTTGTATTTTTCCAATTTTGTTTTTGTGCTGATTCGTGCGCTTAGCGTTCATTGGCCCCTTTTAGCAGCGCACAAATTATATACTACATCTCCGATAAAAACAACAAAACACAATAACATTTTCAGCAACTAAGCGTTTTTCTACATAGTATAGACGTATAGGCCAAAACGTAGACGTAGTGTAAAGCCATTGACTTTTCCACAATGCTTAAGTCAAGTTCAGGGCCAGTTGGAGCTGCGCTATTTGGTCATTTTTTCTTCTTTTTTTAAGCAGTTGCCTTATCGAGCTACCAAACACATGACAACCAGATATATGACCATTATCTGAGACAGTTATATGTGTACTAGATATAGCATATTATCACTACAGTCTGGCACGTCATAGCGACAATGACAACAAATAATTTTAGCTGCCCCATTGAGTCCAATTTGAATCATCCAAGGAAATTTAATTATATTATGCAAATACGCGTGACAAAGTCAAGCAAAATGTGGGCGTTTTCAGTGATTATTTGGCAGCAGATTTTCACGTAGCTGCCGCACTGCTATAATTATAGAGAACAGCTAATATTGTACTTAATGTGGAAATTTACATTAGTAATATGTTGTTGAGAAGCGCAGAGAAAGGCGCTTTGAGCATAGCACGGCTATAAAGCTTTAATGATAATCTAATATAAATAATAACGCATATCTAGCGTAGTTTTGGTTCCTTAATAGAATTCGTAACTTTACTTCTTTATACTATCTAGTTTCCTTTCTCTACAATGATATTTCAAAATATTGTTGTTCTATTCTGATTGTATTTAAGATAAGTATGCGTACAGATAAGAATGAAGCAACTCAGCAACGGACGGCAGAAATAAGTGTACTCATAGAAACCTTTCAAGTGGTTTATAGACTCGCAAATTTCACAACAAAGCTCTAATAAATATAATTATTTTAATCTGAATATAGCCTTATAAGGCAAACACTCACCTTTTCAGTAACAGCTACTATAAAAACCATTTTTAGGCAGCTTCTTAATCAAAGCAGGCAGCTGTCTATAAGAAAAATTAAAACAGAGAGATATAAAATGTGGAAGTGAATTGTGTAAAATATTTTATATGTGTTAGAGATTCTGGAAACTACAAATAACAACAAAATAAATATTTATACGTGTGCCAAAAGTCCCAGAAATGGGTATATACAGCTTCGAAGAAAAATGCCGTACAAAATGTTCTATTTTTGTAAAAGTAATTTTAAATTTAGTAAGAAACATCCTTGCTTTGAAAATGTACAATAATTATATAGAACTAGAAATAATCCAAACGACTTATCTAAGGATTTTTATCTTATATTTGTTCCTTAGAGTGTAATTCTATTCCTTGAGTCTCCAGGTTTCATTTGAATATGAATATTTTTAAAAAAGTTTTAAATAAACATTTAGTAATAAAAGTTCTTAACATTTAAATGTATATTTTATTATTAGGTACGGGTATAAAGCTTTCGTATCTTGGTTTATAGCATTTTTAATAGGAAAATATATACATATGCATTTAAGTGCAAAATATATGTGCTGAAAAACTTGTGTGGGTCTCAGTTCATTGATTGCAGACGACTTGGACGACTACAGCAGCAGCAGCAGCAGCAGCAGCAGCAGCCGCAGTCGCGGTCGCCTATATGTTTTCTATATGTTTGACAATGCGGAAGTTGTTGAAATATAACAAATCCAAGGCGAGAAACAAAGAGAAACTGCATGTGCATATAAAAGATATAAAAATGTATCTCTCGCTGTGTGTCTGCAGTTGCAACAAAGCGCAGGCAGGCGGTCTATGTCTATATATGTATATATATATGGCCGATATATGCAAGTTCACGATCCGGCAAGTAATTAATGGATAGCACTTAGAGTGTTAATGTCAGCGTAGAATCCAAAAGCCACAAATCGAGGAAACTTACCCGAAAAACCAACAAAAGATAAAACGCCGACAAGCGAAATGCGATTAAGGAAAGCAAACGAAGCGAAAGATAGACACAAAGATAAATCGTGCGGGGGAGTTACAAAAAGTCAATGTGAACAGATTACTGAGACGCACGAATAACTATTTAAGGATTCAACAATAACAAATTTGAAAATAAAGGATTTAAGAGCGAAACTCGAAACCGGAATACGAATTGTACGCGACGCGAACCGTCCGCTGCCAGGAGTAGACACAACCGACCTGTCCGAATTGCACTCGATAACTGTGTCAGTGTGTAGCGATGGAATGCCCGTAAACTGAGAAATTCAGAGAGAGGGAGAGAGAGAGAAAGAGAGAGAGAGACAGGCAGAGAGAGAGTGAACGAATCCCAGTATCACACTGGATGTGAGACTCTCCTGTTGGATTTGTTGGCGGCGGCGGGGCAGATTGGAATACAGCCACCACCAGCAGCAGCAACACCATCATCAACAGCACCACCACCACCACCACCAGCTGGAGAGCAAGAGAAATTTCTTGTTTGTGTATCCTGCCTGGCATATCCTGGCCAGAGACGCGGAGATAATAAAAGAAAACTATAAAGGAGTTGTTCAAGGCATCACGAAGTTTAGATACCCTCGCCAACCTGCTACAGATAAACGATATAATATTTATATAAACGATATAATATTTATATATATAGCAATTTGACGATGCTGAAAAAATAAACCGGCATTGCCCGGCTCAAATGAATAATGTTGACATTTCAATTGTAGCGAAATTGTTTGTAGAATTCGCGAAGATGAAATTTCCACCGCTGTCCCTAAGCCCTCCCAAGGCTCGCAAAATCTATTAATCACCAATCAGATGAAAACAAATTTGTAATAAAAACGTGAAAAAAAACTAAATAAACTCCGGCTAAAAGACTCATTACGAATTTATAGAAGACCACATATTTAATAATTTAAATTAAAAACATAAAAATTGTGTCTTACGACTTCTTGAGGGTTCGAACCCTTAACATCATCCTTAGAGTGCGCCGCTTATCCCACTACGCTACTCAATCCACTTTGTGGGCTCTGCCAAAGAATACATTTGACAATCCCGACTTAGTGCTAACTTTCGATCCCAAAGAAAGCTTCCATACAAATATCAGATTCGTACTTCTTAAGATTAAGGCTTTGCGTTGGTCGCCAATCAGTCGGTCGGGACAAACTCTTTTATATATATGTATATGTACTTCTTCCATCTAGTATAGGTTTCGTCACATTATTAGAATACCTTTTGCAAGGGTATTTGAAAAAGGGAAACCTTGACAGACAAAAACTAACCCCAAAAAGGCAAAGGCTGTTGAATGCTTTCCGAGTATCCTTAAGTAGCATAGCGAAATCTTTAGGACTTTTCCTTCTGTTTTGAGTCGATTTACTAACGTGTTTGGCCAGCAAACGACGCGGGGTGGAAAGCGCCGGCGGCCCAACTTCCCGGTGTGTGTGTGTGTTTGTGTGTGTGTGTGTGGTGTGTGCGAGTGAGTAATCGCCTGCGCCTGGCAACAGGACTCCTTTTTTTATAACTTCAACATTTATTACTCACTTTTACTGGAGTAATACAAGCAACACATAGGCCACAGCAAAGTACAGTAAAACTTGCCATTTAGTCGGTGGACAAAAGATGAAAACAAGCCGGGGGTTAGTTCAGGAGGGGGAGTAACAGCCCTGGCTGGGCATTAGAGGGATAAACTTGTAGTTCCCGCTAAATTAATTTAAATTATGTCTCCATCTTTAACTAGTTTTACATGATTTACAATTCCTCTCAAACATTCACTTGATCCTTTTTGTAACCCAGACTTTTGTGATCATATGTTGTCTTAAATATTGGAAAAAAATTGACTTGAAACTCTTATGAATTTAGGGAACTTAGAAAAATCGTATTCATTTTTAATAGATTCAAAATTTAGAGCTTACCCAATGACCAACATATTCAGACACAATCGTGTACACACATAAGGTAAGGATCTATAAAGTGTGATAACTAGCAAAGTAATTGGAAAAACGAGAAAGAAAGATAATCTTCAGCATGCCGAACTTTTAATACCCTTGTAGACATTTGCCTAACGGTTTTGCAGACATGTGAGAGTTTGATGAAAATATTTTGGAAAAACAGAATATTTTCACATAAAAAACTAGTTTTTCGATGGATTCTTCCTATAGTGCTATATAATATAGTGCGACATTGATAAGCTTTGGTTCCTATGTAAGCATCATAGTTTAACTAATAATAGCCGAGTTTGGTCAAGATATCTTGATAAACAGAAAAGTTTTTTATACAAGAACCTACCTTTCGACTGATCATTCCTATAGCAGCTCTATGATACAGTGGTTCGATGTTGATAAGATTCTGAA